GAACTGCTATTATTGTTGTGTTGCTATTATTGTTGTTGTTGAACTGCTATTATTGTTGTGATTATTGTTGTTGTTGTGCTATTATTTGTTGTTGTTGAACTGCTATTATTGTTGTTGTGAACTGCTATTATTGTTGTTGTTGTTGAACTGCTATTATTGTTGTTGTTGAACTACTATTATTGTTGTTAGTTGCTATTATTGTTGTTGTTGTGTTGAACTGCTATTGTTGTTGTTGTTGAACTGCTATTATTGTTGTTGTTGAACTGCTATTATTGTTGTTGTGAACTGCTATTATTGTTGTTGTTGTTGTTGAACTGCTATTATTGTTGTTGTTGAACTGCTATTATTGTTGTTGTTGTGCTGCTATTATTGTTGTTGTTGTTGTTGAACTGCTATTATTGTTGTTGTTGAACTGCTATTATTGTTGTTGTTGAACTGCTATTATTGTGTTGTTGAACGCTATTGTTGTTGTTGAACTGCTATTATTGTTGTTGTTGAGCTGCTATTATTATTGTTGTTGTTGAACTGCTATTATTGTTGTTGTTGAACTGCTATTATTGTTGTTGTTGAACTGCTATTATTGTTGTTGTTGAACTGCTTATTGTTGTTGTTGAACCTGTTATTATTGTTGTTGTTGAACTGCTATTATTGTTGTTGTTGAACTGCTATTATTGTTGTTGTTGTTGAACTGCTATTATTGTTGTTGTTGAACTGCTATTATTGCTGTTGTTGAACTGCTATTATTGTTGTTGGAACTGCTATTATTGTTGTTGCTGAACTGCTATTATTGTGTTGACTTTGTTGTTGAACTGCTATTATTGTTGTTGTTCGTATTATTGTTGTTGAACTGCTATTATTGTTGTTGCTGAACTGCTATTATTGTTGTTGTTGAACTGCTATTATTGTTGTTGTTGAACTGCTATTATTATGTGTTGAACTTTATGCTATTATTGTTGAACTGCTATTATTGTTGTGTTGAACTGCTATTATTGTTGTTGTTGAACTGCTATATTGTTGTTGTTGAACTGCTATTATTGTTGCTGAACTGCTATTATTGTTGTTGTTGAACTGCTATTATTGTTGTTGTTGAACTGCTATTATTGTTGTTGTTGAACTGCTATTATTGTTTTTTGCATTGTTGTTGTTGAACTGCTATTATTGTTGTTGTTGAACTGCTATTGTTGTTGTTGAACTGCTATTATTGTTGTTGTTGAACTGCTATTATTGTTGTTGTTGTACTGCTATTATTGTTGTTGTGTACGATTATTGTTGTTGTTGTTGTGAACGTTATTGTGTTGTTGAACTGCTATTATTGTTGCTGTTGAACTGCTATTATTGTGTTGTTGAACTGCTATTGTTGTTGAACTGCTTTATTGTTGTTATATTGTGTTGTTGAACTGCTATTATTATTGTTGTTGTTGAACTATTATTGTTGTTGTTGTTGTTGAACTGCTATTATTGTTGTTGTTGAACTGCTATTATTGCTGTTGTACTGCTATTATTGTGTTGCTGTTGCTGAACCGCTATTATTGTTGTTGTTGAACTGCTATTATTGTTGTTGAACTGCTATTATTGTTGTTGTTGTTGAACTGCTATTATTGTTGTTGTTGTTGTTGAACTGCTATTATTGTTGTTGTTGAACTGCTATTATGCTTGTTATTGTTGTTGTTGAACTGTTGGCTATTGTTGTTGTTGAACTGCTATTATTGTTGTTGTTGAACTGCTATTATTGTTGCTGTTGAACTGCTATTATTGTTGTTAAGCTATTATTGTTGTGAACTGCTATTATTGTTGTTGTTGAACTGCTATTATTGTTGTTGTGAACTGCTATTATTGTTGTTGTTGTACCATTATTATTGTTGTTGTGAACTGCTATTATTGCTGTTGTTGAACTGCTATTATTGTTGTTGTTGAACTGCTATTATTGTTGTTGTTGAACTGCTATTATTGTTGTTGTTGAACTGCTATTATTTGTGTTGTTGTTGAACTGCTATTATTGTTGTTGTTGAACTGCTATTGTTGTTGAACTGCTATTATTGTTGTTGTTGAACTGCTATTATTGTTGTTGTACTACTATTATTGTTGTTGTTGAACTGCTATTATTGTTGTTGTTGTTGTTGAACTGCTATTATTGTTGTTGTTGAACTGCTATTATTGTTGTTGTTGTTGTTGAACTGCTATTATTGTTGTTGTTGTTGAACTGCTATTATTGTTGTTGTTGAACCTATTATTGTGTTGTGTTGTTGAACTGCTATTATTGTTGTTGTTGTTTGTTGTGAACTGCTATTATTGTTGTTGTGAACTGCTTATTGTTGTTGCTGAACTGCTATTATTGTTGTTGTTGACTGCTATTATTGTGTTTTGTTGTTGTACTGCTATTATTGTTGTTGTTGAACTGCTATTGTTGTTGTTGAACCGCTATTATTGTGTTGTTGCACATTATTGCTGTTGTGAACTGCTTATTGTGTTGTTTGTGAACGCTATTATTGTTGTTTGAACT